CCTTGCTGTCATCTGTGTAGGACCCATCTTGTTTAAGTAGGGGCCCAATACTGGACGTTGTTCTCGACTTAGATTTGGCATAGGAGAAGAAATACTTTGGGTTTCTTTCGATTTCATTTATGGCTTTTAGTTCTTCCCGCGATTCCTGACTTCTATAGGATTCCTTTAGCTTAAGTTCGATGCTTGCTATTTCTCTGACCAGTGACTCCCTACGCATTTCAGATATATTTACCTCTTTTAGCCGCTGTTATTCTTTTCCGTCGCCTGTAAAGGGAGCGCCTGTCTCTTTCTATTTTACATCTACTCCTCCGTTTTCTTAAGAGGAATAAGCCTTGTGCATACATCGAGTGCCACCGAGTTAATCTGCTCTAGGCATAAGTTGGGGTCTGTGTTGCTTAGTACATCTTCCCAGCTTATATCGGTTAGGACTTGGTTTACTTGGTCCCACTTTATGTTTCTGTTATTGAAGTTGAATTTGGTGAATGCTCCCGCGTGACTAATCTCATTATGTCGGTCTAGGGCTCCACGCATACATGTCTGAACCTCAATTATGTTGTGATCTGAGTATATGTTTTTGATATGGTGACATTTCGTATCAGATCATCATTGTTAGTGAAGATGAGGTCTAGTGTATTCTCCAGTCTAGTAGGCTCTATTATTTGCTGATTTAGATTGAATTTTGTGCAGAGATTTAAAAGCTCGTGTGTGTGTGTGAGTTCTCATCAGAGCTGCCTCCTGGTGTTATTACTGCAACAATATTATTTGCTATATTCCTCCATTTTAGATGCCTTAAGTTGAAATCCCCCAGGAGCAAGATGTTGGGGGCAGGAGCTGGCAGATTTTCCAGACAGTGGTCAATTTTTAACAGCTGTTCCTGGAATTGCTGGAATTCCTGGAATTGTGTAGGAGTACTGAGAACTACACACAATGTACGAGTATTAAGAACTACGCACAGTGTAGTACTGAGAACTACACACAGTGTAGGAGTACTGAGAACTACACACAGTGTAGGAGTACTGAGAACTACACACAGTGTAGGAGTACTGAGAACTACACGCAGTGTAAGAATACTAAGAACTGTACACAGTGTAGGAGTACTGAGAACTACACACAGTGTAAGAATACTAAAAACTACACACAGTGTACGAGTACTAAGAACTACACACAGTGTAGGAGTACTGAGAACTACACACAGTGTAGGAATACTGAGAACTACACACAGTGTACGAGTACTAGGAACTACACACAGTGTAGGACTACTGAGAACTACACACAGTGTAAGAATACTAAGAACAGCACACAGAGTACGAGTACTAAGAACTACACACAGTAAATGACATGCCCACGCACTCTGCCCCAGGGCCAGACTCATGGAACTCCGTGTTCATCAAGAACTGCAAGAAGCCCCTATCACGAGCTTTTACCATCCTATGGAGAGGGAGCATGGACACGGGGGTCGTCCCACAGTTACTAAAAGCAACAGACATAGCCCCACTCCACAAAGGGGGCAGTAAAGCAATAGCAAAGAACTACAGACTGATAGCACTAACATCCCATATCATAAAAATCTTTGAAAGGGTCCTAAGAAGCAAGATCGCCACCCCTCTAGATACCCATCAATTACACAACCCAGAGCAACATGGGTTTAGAGCAGGTCGCTCCTGTCTGTCTCAGCTATTGGATCACTACGACAAGGTCCTAGATGCACTAGAAGACAAAAAGAATGCAGATGTAATATATACAGACTTTGCAAAAGCCTTCGACAAGTGTGACCATGGCGTAATAGCGCACAAAATGCGTGCTAAAGGAATAACAGGAAAAGTTGGTAGATGGATCTATAATTTCCTCACAAACAGAACACAAATAGTAATAGTCAACAGAGTAAAGTCTGAGGCAGTTACGGTGAACAGCTCTGTTCCACAAGGCACAGTACTCGCTCCCATCTTGTTTCTCATCCTCATATCTGACAAAGACAAGGATGTCAGCAACAGCATCGTGTCTTCCTTTGCAGATGACACCCGAATCTGCATGACGGTATCTTCCATTGCAGACACTGCAAGGCTCCAGGCGTACATCAACCAAATCTTTCAGTGGGCTGCAGAAAACAATATGAAGTTCAACGATGAGAAATTTCAATTACTCCGATATGGTAAACATGAGGAAATTAAAACTTCATCAGAGTACAAAACAAATTCCTTCCACAAAATACAGCGAAAAACCAAAGTTAAAGACCTGGGAGTGATCATGTCGGAGGATCTCACCTTCAAGGACCATAACATTGTATCAATCGCATCTGCTAGAAAAATGACAGGATGGATAATGAGAACCTTCAAAATTAGGGATGCCAAGCCCATGATGACACTCTTCAGGTCACTTGTTCTATCTAGGCTGGAATATTGCTGCACACTAACAGCACCTTTCAAGGCAGGTGAAATTGCTGACCTAGAAAATGTACAGAGAACCTTCACGGCTCGCATAACGGAGATAAAACACCTCAATTACTGGGAGCGCTTGAAGATCCTGAACCTGTACTCCCTGGAACGCAGGCGGGAGAGATACATGATTATATACACCTGGAAAATCCTAGAGAGACTAGTACCGAACTTGCACACGAAAATCACAACGAAAGCAAAAGCCTCGGCTGACGATGCAACATCCCACCAATGAAAAGCAGGGGTGTCACTAGCACGTTAAGAGACAATACAATAAGTGTCAGGGGCCCGAGACTGTTCAACTGCCTCCCAGCATACATAAGGGGGATTACCAAGAGACCCCTGGCTGTCTTCAAGCAGGCACTGGACTAGCACCTAAAGTCGGTACCTGACCAGCCGGGCTGTGGCTCGTACGTTGGATTGCGTGCAGCCAGCAGTAACAGCCTGGTTGATCAGGCTCTGATCCACCAGGAGGCCTGGTCACAGACCGGGCCGCGGGGGCACTGACCCCCGGAACTCTCTCCAGGTAAACAGTAGGAGTACTGAGAACTACACACAGTGTAAGAGTACCGAGAGCTACACACAATGTAGGAGTAACAAGAGCTACAATCACACTGTATAGAAGCAACAAGGGCTACACTCATACTATGTAGAAGCAACAAGGGCTGCACTCACACTGTGTAGAAGCAACAAGGGCTACAATCACACTGTGTAGAAGCAACAAAGGCTACAATCACACTGTGTAGAAGCAACAAGGGCTACAATCACACTGTATAGAAGCAACAAGGGATACAATCACACTGTGTAGAAGCAACAAGGTCTACAATCACACTGTGTAGAAGCAATAAGAGCTACAATCACACTGTGTAGAAGCAACAAGGGCTACAATCACACTGTATAGAAGCAACAAGGGATACAATCACACTGTGTAGAAGCAACAAGGGCTACAATCACACTGTGTAGAAGCAACAAGGGCTACAATCACACTGTATAGAAGCAACAAGGGATACAATCACACTGTGTAGAAGCAACAAGGGCTACAATCACACTGTGTAGAAGCAACAAAGGCTACAATCACACTGTGTAGAAGCAACAAGGGCTACAATCACACTGTATAGAAGCAATAAGGGATACAATCACACTGTGTAGAAGCAACAAGGGCTACAATCACACTGTGTAGAAGCAACAAGGGCTACAATCACACTGTATAGAAGCAACAAGGGATACAATCACACTGTGTAGAAGCAACAAGGGCTACAATCACACTGTGTAGAAGCAACAAGGGCTACAATCACACTGTGTAGAAGCAACAAGGGCTACAATCACACTGTATAGAAGCAACAAGGGATACAATCACACTGTGTAGAAGCAACAAGGGCTACAATCACACTGTATAGAAGCAACAAGGGATACAATCACACTGTGTAGAAGCAACAAGGGCTACAATTACACTGTGTAGAAGCAACAAGGGCTACAATCACACTGTATAGAAGCAACAAGGGCTACAATCACACTGTGTAGAAGCAACAAGGGCTACAATCACACTGTGTAGAAGCAACAAGGGCTACAATCACATTGTGTAGCGGCAACAAGGGCTACAATCACACTGTAGTGGCAACAATTTAGAAACAAGAGTTATATCCAGTGTTTAGCTACAAGACGAGCTTCCCTCACCCTGTAGAAGCAACACGAACTATACTTGCACTGTACAAATTGCAAGAGGTATGTACACAGTGTGCAAGATGACAGATAATTCTCATAAAAATCTCACAGAAAACACCCATCTTTACATTGCTGGAGTGTTCCGGGGGTCAACACCCCCGGGGCCCAGTCCATGACCAGGCCTCGCGGCGGATCCTGTGGTGTTTCCTTCATTTTTTTTTCTGTAATATTACCTTACCAGTTATGACTGGTCTAAGACCGGTCCTCGGAGGCAAAAATCTAAAACAAATCATTAAAAGATATATAACCCTGTGCTCTATATACCCATACGAATGAAGATGACATGCGTGTTGAGAAGTTATAGCAACAATATACGAAATAAACACTGAAGCCGTCTAGGATCTGTGTACTTGTTTCGAACAAATCTTCAGTACTGAAAGAAGATCCAACACTGCTTGGTACAGTATTTACTTGTAAGGAAGGCCTCATTCATTGTAAGTTTGTATCTGTCTAGAATGGGAAATGTATGTGCGTGTTATGCACATTACACAAAAGCGTAATAAACACTGGTCACTGTAAGAAATAAACCTGATGGCGAAAATATAACGCTGAGCATTTTTATATTCTAACATTACTCTGAAGGCCTCTGTGATGCAGACATACAGTATTCATCTTACTGTCAACTAATTATCTTTTGAAATGTATCTATTAAAACAAATTATTTGTCAAAGAAAAGAGAATGGTCCGGAAAAATTCTCAAACAGCCTCACTGGGAACCAAAGTCTTCAGTGGGAGTCGTCTTCACCTATTTTATTGTTTATATGAATTCGTTTGTGTCAAAATTCCAAGAGTTAATAAAGAGGTAAATACTGTTCCACTCGAAAAGAAAATGAAAGTTTAACTTACAGTCACTTCTGGTGGTGGCAAGGATGGGGGTGGCGGCCATGGAGACCTGGTCGCCCACCCACGCCCGCACCCCCACTAGGTACTCCGTCCACCTGACCAGGCCGCCCACTGTGGCGCAGTAGCGGTAGATCTCCACCACATTACCTGGAGCCTCACCCTCCGCTTCACTGCCGCCGCCACTACTAGGAGACAGCTGTAATTCGGGAATGACTGCCCAGATTAACAGAAAATGTATTATAGGAGAAATATATATAAAAACCTATCTTTATGGACCACTGAACGCAAGGGGTGAAAATAAGTGTCTCTAGCCAAGTACGGTGGACTCCAGTGCTCACCTTAGAGTGTAGCTGTGCTGTTGTGAGGTTGAGAAGGCCCTTGGCATAACTCCTCTGGCCCTCGACAGGCGTGTAGGAGAGGACGTAGCCCTGAGGCAGCCAATGGGCAGGTGGTGACCAGCACACGTTGAGGGTAGACTCACTAGTGTTGCTTACCTCTACACCAAGTGGCTCTACAGGAGGCAAACTGTGTCATACAATATAACAGCACATTATACTTAAAGTAGAAGTGCAAATCAATTTGTGGTTTGTCTATTATAATTGTGACCAATATTGATGGTGGGTGAGATTTTCCTAGATGTGATTTGCCGCGATGGTAAAAGTTTGACCAAGAGGGTTTTCAGTTGTCTCTTGTGTCCTCGAAATTGATCTGGAAGGGTGGCAGAAGTGTAGCTCTATTTAACCCCCTTAGAGGGCCCCAGCTCATCCTAAGAGTTGACAGATTAAAACAAATATCATATTTTCCTTGTTGTTTATGCGATTTCTATAATCAAAACTTTTATTGACAAGCTGTCTAATTGATACAGGAACGAATACTGTTTCCACCAATTATTAGTGTAGGAAGGATGCTTAGGCATCTTTAAATTAATCTCATTTTACCCATTTTTGGGGTTCAATAATTGACTGTCCTTCTATGACTGGTTGTGAATATAGATTAGCATAAAAATAATGAAACAAGTTTTTATTCCGAATTTGGAAATGGACCAGTAGTGAAGTTTTACTACTATGCTATTACTATATCAAAAGAGGGGAAAGGGAGAGCCGGCACCAAGGAACAATTTAAACCTCTCTGGCTAAATGTTTTTAAATCTGGTAAATCACTTCTAGGAAAGTGTCGTAGTTTACTGTTGCCTTTTAATCATTGTAAATGTTTTTTCCAGATTTCACTGATGTGATGGACTGATCCCGTTGCATCATCTGCCACGAAAATTCCTAATAGAAGGAAATAAATGGTATCAAATACCGACACAGTGGAAATATAAACACATATGCAGTATAATGTGATCCTTTATTGACAACGTTTCACCCACACAGTGGGCTTTTTCAAGTCACACACAGATCTACCTGGGGTGGAAGGTACGGGAGTATTTATAGTCATGTTCAGAATGTTGAGGTCAGGTGGAGAATGCTGCATCTGATGATCTACCGGGTGGAGTTATAGAGTCTTGGGTACATGGCAGGGGTATTGGACAAGTTGTGAGTAGACCTTCTGCAGTGTTCTATGTTCTAATGTGGGATAGCGATGAAGAAGTTTCTTGGCGAGTGGTTCAGCTATGTTATAGAAGCCGTTGTTTGGTTGAAATTGTTGGTTATAGAGATAAGCGATGATTCCAGGATTCTTCGTATCGAGTGTTGTCTTCTGTGGCGATAAGTCTTGAGTTTCTGTAGTTAATTAAATGGTTGTGTGAATTGCGATGTTGTACACAGGCATTCCTTGTATCGTCAGTCCTGCTTGCATATTGGTGTTCTGAAATACGTGTTTAGAGGTCTCTTGATGTTTCGCCACATATAATTTGTTGCAGTCATTACAAGGGATTATATATACCCCTGCAGAGGATGGAGGCTTGTCCTGTCTACTACTGGTGATGTCCTTGATGGTCGTGGTTGTGGGGGTAGATACTTGGAATGATGTATTGGAAAAGATGTTGGAAACATGTTTGGCAATGGAGTTGGTGGGGAGGACTATGTATCTCTTCTCGGCAGTGTCTTCTCTGGGTGTGTTGAAGATGTTTAATGCCCGCCGTCTGCAGTCTCTAAATGAAGTGATGAGAATAGTGGAGTTTAGAAAATACTTGTTCAATTATAGTGCATTCTTCCTCAAGGAACTCATTGCTGCAGATTCTGAGTGCACGCAGGAAGAAGCCTATAATTACACACCACGTTTGGTTTTGGTGTCGTGGTGAGAGTAGAATGTGGAGAAGGTCGTTTTGGTTGGTGGGTTTTCGATAGACTTTAAAACGAAGTTCGTGGTCAGCTTTGCGAGCAGAACATCAAGGAAAGGAAGAGTTTTTGTCGACTTCTTCTTCAAGTGTGAACTGGATTGAAGGCTCGACCTGGTTGAGCTTGTCTTGGAGAGCTTGAACGTTGAAGCGTTTAGGAGTTATGAGGAGAATGTCGTCAACATAACGGAGCCAGGTGACAGACGAAGGAATAATGGTGGAGAAACGTTCGGCTTCTAGATGTTCCATGTACAGGTTCGCCAGGACCGCACTGAGTGGCGAACCCATGGGTAGTCCAAAAGTCTGCTGAAAGAGGTGATTTTCGAAAGAGAAACACGTAAAGCCAACACATAGTTCAGCTTAGGCCTCAAATTCGCAACAGGAGTTACGAAACCAAAACAAGACCTCAATTTCATCGCCAAAAACTACAGACACAATGACTCCGACTTCCAAATAGGCTATCTTCAAGGCATCATCTCAGCAGCCATCTCAACACGCAGCTCCCCAGTCATACCTCGACGTTACATCAATACACTCAAAGATTTAGCAGAAGACACGACCATCAGGGTCACCACCGCTGATAAAGGAGGTGGTGTTGTTATCATGAACACTGACGATTACAGGAACAAAATGCTCAATCTACTTAATGACCCAGATACCTACAAACCTCTCACAACTAACCAAGTGGACAACCTTACTAAAACTTTTCTTCAAAGGACTCGCCGCATTCTGAGGGGCTCAGAACAAGGGAAGAAACTTCTGCACACCATCCCAAGCAACCCCAGACCTGCCAGAATGTACGGCCTGCCAAAAACTCACAAGCCTGGTATCCCACTGAGGCCCATATCCTCGGGAATAGGCAGTGCTCCCCACCAGCTCTCAGGAATTCTCGCAAAACACCTCTCTAAACTCTTGGGCACTATCAGTCCAGCACATCTAAAAAACACTCGGGGATCTTCTCAATCGCATTCGCAACATCAACATCAGGACAAGAAACTTTCCAGCCTTGACGTGACTTCCCTATTCACCAAAGTACCTACTACACAAGCCATCGATCTCTTGTGCAGGAAAATTGACGATTCACTTGATCTTCCCATTTCCCGCCAGCGATTTCATCGACCTTATTGAACTATGTGTTGGCTTTACGTGTTTCTCTTTCGAAAATCACCTCTTTCAGCAGACTTTTGGACTACCCATGGGTTCGCCACTCAGTGCGGTCCTGGCGAACCTGTACATGGAACATCTAGAAGCCGAACGTTTCTCCACCATTATTCCTTCGTCTGTCACCTGGCTCCGTTATGTTGACGACATTCTCCTCATAACTCCTAAACGCTTCAAAAGTTCAAGCTCTCCAAGACAAGCTCAACCAGGTCGAGCCTTCAATCCAGTTCACACTTGAAGAAGAGTCGACAACACTCTCCTTTCCTTGATGTTCTGCTCTGCAAAGCTGACCACGAACTTCGTTTTAAAGTCTATCGAAAACCCACCAACCAAAACGATCTTCTCCACTTCTACTCTCACCACGACAAACCAAAACCAAACGTGGTGTAATTAAAAGGCTTCTTCCTGCGTGCACTCAGAATCTGCAGCAATGAGTTCCTTGAGGAAGAATGCACTATAATTGAACAAGTATTTTCTAAACTCCACTATCCTCATCACTTCATCAGAGACTGCAGACGGCGGGCATTAAACATCTTCAACACACCCAGAGAAGACACTGCCGAGAAGAGATACATAGTCCTCCCCACCAACTCCATTGCCAAACATTGTTTCCAACATCTTTTCCAATACATCATTCCAAGTATCTACCTCCACAACCACGACCATCAAGGACATCACCAGTAGTAGACGGGCAAGCCTCCATCCTCTGCAGGGGGATATATAATCCCTTGTAATGACTGCAACAAATTATATGTGGGCGAAACATCAAGAGACCTCCAAACACGTATTTCAGAACACCAATATGCAAGCAGGACTGACGATACAAGGAATGCCTGTGTACAACATCGCAATTCACACAACCATTTAATTAACTACAGAAACTCAAGACTTATCGCCACAGAAGACAACACTAAATACCGAAGAATCCTGGAATCATCGCTTATCTCTAAAAACCAACAATTTCAACCAGAACAACGGCTTCTATAACATAGCTGAACCACTCGCCAAGAAACTTCTTCATTGCTATTCCACATAAGAACATAGAACACTGCAGAAGGTCTACTCACAACTTGTCCAATACCCCTGCCAAGCTACCCAAGACTCTATAACTCCACCCGGTAGATCATCAGATGCAGCATTCTCCACCTGACCTCAACATTCTGAACATGACTATAAATACTCCCGTACCTTCCACCCCAGGTAGATCTGTGTGTGACTTGAAAAAGCCCACTGTGTGGGTGAAACGTTGTCAATAAAGGATCACATTATACTGCATATGTGTTTATATTTCCTCCATTCCTAATAGAAGCTGAGGTGCCCAGCTCTCACCAAGAACAAGACTGAGATCAAGCATATCCATCGTTAATTGATGCCCTCTAGACTTACCATGCTGCTAGTGGAAGATACCAGTTGAATTTCAAGACCCTTTGAGTGCTGACAAACTGTTAGAAATGGAAGATAAATGGCCCCGAAATTACCGTCGAAGATTCCAAGAGGACAGGCGGCTGCTGAAAGTAACCATTTCTCAAGCATCCCAAACTATAATAATAATAATAATATATCTTTATTTACTACAGGCACATGTACAGGTATACATCAATGGCATACTACTATATAGAAAGATGTTTATTGTGCTGAGCATTTCAGGCAAATTAGGTCAGTTTTGTCCTAGGATGCGACCCACACCAGTCGACCAACACCCAGGTACCCATTTTACTGATGGGTGAATACAGACAACCGGTGTAAGGAAACACATCCAATGTTTCCATCCCTTAGCCGGGAATCGAATCTGGACCCTCACCGTGTAAAGCGAGAGCTTTTGCCACCAGGCCACGGGGCGGCGACCAGGCACTGATGCGCAATACTGCTACCTGTTCTGTGAACAAGCGGCTGACACTAAGCAACCCCTTCGCTGATGAGTTCAGGAACAACAGGAAAGTGATTCAAAGTCTGCAAAATCTGTCCAACAAATGTCACACATGCAATGGTTCATCTAATAAATTGTCCACTCGATGAACTTAAACTTAACAACTGGAGATTCAAATCCATGGAACTGCTCTTCATTCATATCTACGGAGAAGAGACCATGTCGGTCAATGAAATGAGAAAGGAAATTTCATGAAAATAAAGTGGAACGTATTCCACCATTACAACCATTGGGGAGCGGTGTACCAGGGGTGTATGGGCGTCTGCCCATAACCCAACATGTCAAGAACCTAACCCATGTCTTGATGATTGGGGAAAAGAAGGGAATACTCTCTTTCCGGAATGGATCACAATTCCTTCAATCACAATGGTGTGTCAGGAACTCATGAAATGAGGATGCAAGGAAAGATGTTCAATGTATGCTGTTGTGCAGCATTCTGTTAATGTCATTGCTGTTGCTCTTATTTAATTTCATTTTATCCACCACTGATGATAAAGCATATGTTTTTGGAGGGCATAATGTGCATTTGTATGTCATTTTCTATGCAGCCATTGATTGTTGACGTGAAGAACCACCGCTAGACCAGTACGCGGTGCTGCAGTCGCTATGTTAGCTCATATTTTATACCATTTGAGAATTTTATGCACATGTAGTGCTAGACTTCACTTCAGTGGTTAATTATTGATTTCATGCCATATATGTTCTAGTTTGGCATCATTATCTGAATCATTAATTATTCTTGTATTCGTGACTTGTTATTAGGTGTATAAATAAATGCTTCGGATGTACAGTGGCTGTTTTAAACACTCCCGTTATAATTGTATTTCGGAAGTCACGTGCCAGGAACCTGCAGAGTTAACCAGTGATTCGGTCTTCTGCCATGCAATAACTATGTTGCAAGGTGCATTGCAAGTGTACTTGCACGGAGATTTACAATGACATAATCATTTCTTCATTCAACCCTTGGGGGGAGGTGGGTGAAATGTATTCCAAGTGAGCTGCAGTTGAAGCCACCGTGCACCAGAAATCGATATAAAGAGAATTCACCCCTTTGTCGATCACACTACCTATTAATAGAGGTTTTATCAAGTAAATCCAACAAAAAACTGAAGATACTGTATATATAATTTTATATGACATCCCTGAGGAAAATGGACGTTCTCCCAAAGGGGCCCTCAATGTATACTCACTTCTGCTACCCTCTCAGATCGAAACAAAGGTTCTCAGGAAATAACGGAAATTCCCAAGCTAATTTCTTTACAATCCTGGTCAATCACAAAAAAAATCCCTACTAGCCCCACCTACAATGACGTTCCATGTATACAAATTAATAACTTACTGGATGTTATCATTTCTGTGTAATCTCATACAAAAATCACACATTCTTTCCTCACGCTATTATCATGCATATTATTATTATTATTATTATTATTATTATTATTATTATTATTATTATTATTATTATTATTATTATCATCATCACCATCATCATAAACATCACAAAAAGTGGTAAACATACGTACAGTATCTTAATAGAATAGCTTCCAGTCCGTTATTACACTTACAAATTTATATTAATACTGATAAATAAAAGTAAAAATTCCGTGGTTGAGGTAATTACAACACTTGGTAATGGTCCAGGAAGGACCGAAACGTCGTCCAGTTTTCATCTCTAGTTTGCGGGTTAGTTCTGAATTAATAATGAAGCCATAATGACTTAATATGTTTCCTCAACACTGTTGGAAGTAACATGCTCCCTCAACACTGTAGTGTTGCTACCCAATACTGTCGTACCTGACATGTTCCTGACGTAGACGGTGAAGTTAGCCAGGGTGTATCGTTGTGGTGACCCCCCGTCGACGGCGCCCACCAGGAGACGTATAGGTGAGGCATCCAGCTGTAGCTCTCCTGCCACACTCACCTGCCCACTCTCCTGATCTATACTCACTGGAGACCACTTCCTGCAACAACCAAGCATATATATGTCGTGCCGAATAGGTAAAACTGGTAAATTTGCAAGAACTCATTTAAAATTAAGTCCTTTCTAAAAATTTTCTCTTAAACGCTTAAAGATACATTTTTTTATTTATGTTAATGTAAACATTAATAATTTTGTACCAAAAGAACCTTAGAAAACTTACCTAACCTTATTATAACAAGCGCAATTTAATTTATATATATATATATATATATATATATATATATATATATATATATATATATAATATATATATATATATATATATAAAATTTAATATATATATATATATATATATATATATATATATATATATATATTATATATATATATATATATATATATATATTATGGTAGTAGGTTGGTAGACAGCAACCACCCAGGGAGGTATTACCGTCCTGCCAAGTGAGTGTAAAACGAAAGCCTGTAATTGTTTTACATGATGGTAGGATTGCTGGTGTCTTTTGTCTGTCTCATAAATATGCAAGATTACAGGCATGTCTTGCTACTTCTACTTACGCTTAGGTCACACTACACATACATGTACACGTTTATTTATACACACTCATCTGAGTTTTCTTTGATTTTATCTTAATAGTTCTTGTTCTTATTACTTTTCCTTTTATATCCATGGGGAAGTGGAATAAGAATCTTTCCTCCGTAAGCCATGCGTGTTGTAAAAGTCAACTAAAATGCCGGGAACAATGGGCTAGTAACCCCTTTTCCTGTGAAGATTACTAAAAAGAATAAGAAGAAGAAAATTGTCAAAGTGGGAAGTCTGAATGTGCGGGGATGTTGTGCAAATGATAAGAAAGAGATGATTGTGGATGTTATGAATGAGAAGAAACTGGATGTCCTGGTTTTAAGTGAAACAAAGCTGAAGGGGGTGGGAGAGTTTCATTGGAGAGGAATAAATGGGATTAGGTCAGGGGTTTCAAATAGAGTTAGAGCTAAAGAAGGAGTAGCAATAATAAATAACAAAAAAGGCACAATACCGTGACTGGAACGATGCATAAATGGGAATGCCCGGATGTTGTGCATGTGTCTTAATTTCATCTTGTCGGTATTATATACAACTCTTGTATTACTACTACTACTACTACTACTACTACTACTACTACTACTACCACCACCTCTTCCTGCCTATATATAGCCGTCCTGCTCCACCTCTGGTTAGTGTGACTTTGTCAATGGTCCAAGTCGGACCGAAACGTCGTCGTAAGCTTCTCTCTTTTATGTGCGGGTTATTAGTGTATGAGTAGCAATAATGTTGAAGGATAAGCTATGGCAGGAAAAGAGGGACTACAAATGTATTCATTCAAGGATTATGTGGAGTAAAATAAAGATTGGATGTGAAAAGTGGGTTATAGTAAGCGTGTATGCACCTGGAGAAGAGAGAAGTGTACAGGAAAGAGAGAGATTTTGGGATATGTTGAGTGAATGCGTGGGGAGTTTTGAATCAAGTGTGAGAATAATGGTGGTTGGGGATTTCAATGCTAAAGTGGGTAAAAATGTTATGGAGGGAGTAGTAGGTAAATTTGGGGTGCCAGGGGTAAATGTAAATGGGGAGCCTTTAATTGAGCTATGTGTAGAAAGAAATTTGGTAATAAGTAATACATATTTTATGAAAAAGAGGATAAATAAATATACAAGGTATGATGTAGCACGTAATGAAAGTAGTTTATTAGATTATGTATTGGTGGATAAAAGGTTGATGGGTAGGCTCCAGGATGTACATGTTTATAGAGGGGCAACTGATATATCGGATCATTATTTAGTTGTAGCTACAGTTAGAGTAAGAGGTAGATGGGAAAAGAGGAAGGTGGCAACAACAAGTAAGAGGGAGGTGAAAGTGTATAAATAAGGGAGGAGGAAGTTCGGGTGAGATATAAGCGACTATTGGCAGAAAGGTGGGCTAGTGCAAAGATGAGTAGTGGGGGGGGTTGAAGAGGGTTGGAATAGTTTTAAAAATGCAGTATTAAAATGTGTGGGCAGAAGTTTGTGGTTATAGGAGGGTGGGGGCAGGAGGAAAGAGGAGTGATTGGTGGAATGATGAAGTAAAGGGTGTGATAAAAGAGAAAAATGTAGCTTATGAGAGGTTTTTACAAAGCAGAAGTGTTATAAGAAGAGCAGAGTATATGGAGACTAAAAGAAAGGTGAAGAAAGTGGTGAGAGAGTGCAAAAGGAGAGCAGATGATAGAGTGGGAGAGGCACTGTCAAGAAATTTTAATGAAAATGAGAAAAAATTTTGGAGTGAGTTAAACAAGTTAAGAAAGCCTAGGGAAAGTATGGATTTGTCAGTTAAAAACAGAGTAGGGGAGTTAGTAGATGGGGAGAGGGAGGCATTAGGTAAACGGCGAGAATATTTTGAGGAACTTTTAAACGTTGAGGAAGAAAGGGAGGCGGTAATTTCATGCACTGGCCAGGGAGGTATACCATCTTTTAGGAGTGAAGAAGAGCAGAATGTAAGTGTGGTGGAGGTACGTGAGGCATTATGTAGAATGAAAGGGGGTAAAGCAGCTGGAACTGATGGGATCATGACAGAAATGTTAAAAGCAGGGGGGGATATAGTGTTGGAGTGGTTGGTACTTTTGTTTAATAAATGTATGAAAGAGGGAAGGTACCTAGGAATTGGCGGAGGAGCATGTATAGTCCCTTTATATAAAGGGAAAGGGGATAAAAGAGATTGTAAAAATTATGAGGAATAAGTTTTAGTATACCAGGAAAAAAGTTACGGTAGGGTTATAATTAAAAGAATTAGAGGAAAGACAGAATGTGGTTTGGGAGAGGGGGGGGCTTCAGAGTGGGTAGGGGATGTTAGATCAAGTGTTTACATTGAAGCATATTGTAAACAGTATTTAGAAAAAGGTGGGAAATTTTTTTGCATTTTGGTTTTAAAAAAAGGATATGATTAGTCGTAGTGGAAGAGGACAATTTTGGCGATATTGAAAGTAGTGGAATAGGTGGTAAGTTACTAATGTGTTAGAGTTTTTTGGGATAGTGAGGCCAGGTTAGGGTGTGTAAAAGGGGGAGAAACTTTCGGTAAAAGTAGGTTTAAAAGGGGGATGTGTAATGTCCCCCATGGTTGTTTAATTTTTTTTTGAGGGTTTTGAAAAAAGAATAATGCTAGGGTGTTGGGGAGAGGGGTGGGTTTAAAATTAGGGGGGAATCAAATTAAAAAGGGAAAATTGACACATTTACTTTTTGCTGTGATATGGCTTAGGGGAGATTCAAAAGAAAAATGCAAAGGTTAGTGGATTGAGTTTGGGAATGTGTGAAAAGGGTAGAAATTTGAAAGTGAAATATAAAAGAGAAAGGTGGGGGGTATCAAATGTTTTGTAAAAAAAAATTGGATATAAAAATTTGGGGAGGGAGAGGAAGAAGTGAAGTTTTAGATACTTGGGAGTTGACTTTTCTGCGGAGGGATTTTAAAGGATGAGGTTAATATAAATTGATGGGGGAAAAAAAAAGGTGATGGTGCGTTGAGGTATTGTGGAGTCAAAAAACGTTATCTATGGAGGCAAAAAAGGGGGAATGTTAAAGTATAGTGTCCCAACCCTTATAGGGAGTAAAGCTTGGGTGGTAAATGCAGCAGCGAGGAAGGTTGGAGGAGTGGAGAGTCCTTCTAAGGGCAATTGTGGTGTAAATTTTTGCGAAATTCGGGTGGGGAAATTGGGAGAAGGTGTGGAGTTAATAAAAACTTAGTCAGAGGGCAAAAGAGGGTTGTTGAGGGGGTTTGGTCTTTTTAGAGGAATGGATCAAAGTAGAAGACAGGGAAAAAGCATAAAAATTAGGGGGGAAGGAAGGAAGGTGGGGGTCACCCTCAAAAGGGGTTTGGGAGAGGGGGGGGTAAAAGGGGTTTTGTGGGAGGGGCTTGAACTTCCAGCAAGTGTGCTGAGCGTGTTAGTTTAGGAGTGAATGGAGACGAATGTATTTGGGGACCGACAAATCTTTTGGGAGTGTGAGCAGGGTAATATTTGTGAAGGGATCAAGGGAAACCCGGTTATTTTAAAATAGTCGGACTTACCTGGAAAATGGGAAGTAAACCCGCACTTTAAAGGAGGGGTTTGGGATTTTGGATTTGGAGGGATATGTTGGGTATTTTTTTAAAGTATAGCTTCAAAGGTTGTATTCTGAGACCTCTGCAAAAACGTGATAATGTGTGGTGTGGGAAAGTGTTGAATGATGTTTAAAGTATTTTTTTTTTTGGGGTTTTTCTTTTTTTTTTGGGTCACCCTGCCCGGGGGGAGAGGCCGACTTGTTAAAAAAAAAAAATATATATATATTTTTAAATATGTATATATATATATATATTATATATATTATAATATTTTATATATATATAAATATATAATATACTATATATATTTTTTTTTTTTCAACAATGGGGGATTCAAAAAGGGTCCATGTGAGTAGCAGGCCCAGATATTCACTGAGTTACGAGGTTCTAATGGGTGATTTGCAAGCACACCTTTATTTGGTTATTACAGTCCCTCCCCCTGCGACCGCTACGTCCATCATACCTCCCCAGGCTTTCATTGCACATTTATTTTGCTCCCCCCTTTTAGCAAAATAGTCATAAACTAAAGATAAGCGTAATGAATGACTGTCATTTAAAAGGAGAAAATTTACGGGAGGGAACAGGGTTATTTTTAACCTGTCAGAGACTAGGAGCGAAAAGGGGATGTATCAGCCTCCAAACTCTTGAATGAGCCAACGGGTTTTCAATTCTAAATACACTGTAAATTAGTACTACGTGTACACTGTAGTTCCCATGTTACAACCAACATTGGTCCAGCAATATCCAAGAATCTGTGATAGATAAAAAATACTCACGGGGGTTTGGGGAAAGGGGAAAGGCGGTGGGTTTTGAGGCGGGGTCCCCAAGAAGTGCGGAGTTCTCTATTGTAGTAAGAAGGCGTCGTCAGTTGCCTGCACCCTATCGCGGTGTCCCAACCTCCGCCCCTCCCACCACCTCCACGTGAGAAACACAAAAAACCCAAATTTGTAGTCATACAGGTAGCCATTCTTCAGTGAATTCCTTTGAAAGTCTCAAGAAAAAATGCCCCACGAGTTTTTTGAAAAACTAGAGTCCTGAAAATGTTTTGATATTCAAAATATAAAAAAATAATAACAAATACTGATTGATTCCCAAATGTGTTCCTGGGCAGGAGAGAACCCTAAAAGAGCACCCCGGGGTAAAAAAATACTCCCTATGAATAACGGTGTAAGGTTCTTTGTCCCATGACCGGTTTAAACCAGGTTTTCCCGTTCCCCGCCGGGCCCCACTGGTGTTGGTGCAGGGCCCCCAGGCCAGATAGCCATTACCCGGTAAGCAATTTTCCTTTAATTCAGATGTTAACTAACAAAATCAGGGCTTTTTAAAAATGTTTCCACCGTAAATAATAGTTATCTAAAAATCGAGGGTTTAAAAATTTTAAGGCAACAAGGGCTCATAAGTATGTGAAACCCACTTTTGTACGTTTTATCACTTTAAATCACATTCCACACTCGTAAATTATTTTCCAATTTTTTGTCACGCCAGAATTAAGAAACAAGGTTTACCCCTTTTTTTAGCGAGTCTTTCATTCTGTTACTCTATACTGTTTTGTACCAGAGTAATGGAAAGGGCATAATTTTAACACCGCCTTTCCCCTTGCTTTGCCACTTTAAATTTTTAAATTTTTAACATTATTTTATTTTTATTTTTTTTTTTAGCTTTGACTTATTGTAGTCCCTCAACCCTACTTTATAAGGACATTTGAACAACCCCCCCTTGGCTATTTTAATGTCTTTGTACTTGCATATGTACACGGTATATCAGGTTTTCCCGAAAAAACTCCTGATGACTGCGATTGATTTTTCAGCGAAAAGTTGATTGTACCTCAAAAAAATGTCCTAAAGTTTCAAATCTTTCTGTCCTGCTGAATTATATTTCTTTAAGATCGTCATCCGACCCCCCATTTTAGGCTTTTCCTTTTCCCCCGTGGGAAAAAAAATTAAGATCATCTACATAAAAACTGCCAGACCCCTAAACCCCATGAAGAGCCTAATCAAAAAGTTATCACCAGGACCCCAGGTTGTAAAGTATTTCCAGTTATTCCAAAGATAAGAAAACGTGTTTATTGGGTGGGGGGAAAAAGGGTAGAAAAGCTTGCTTCACTTGGACAGCAGTAGGGAAAAAGGGAAAGGGAAAAATTCCTCTATCCCCGCAGCAGGAGGAAGAGGAAGCGGTTCCCCTTCCCCCCCTGTGTTCCCAAAAACGGGGAAAAAATTAAGCTAGTTTCATTTGTTCTGCAATTGGGGAAAAGGAAGCTTGTTTTACTTTTTCCCGTAAAAGGGGGAAAACAGGAAACCTGCTTCACGTGTTCCCCCTCAGGGGAAATGGCAGAAACAGTAATAATAGAGGCAAACTCAGTGCCCTAAGTTTTAAATTTTGTCCTTTAGGATGACAAAAAAGTTCAGTTTTTAAATGTAGACGCCCATTATTAAATTCTTTGGGCTAATCAACTGGTTTTAAAAGTTCTTAAAGTAGAACAAGAACGAACAGCCCAGCAAATGGATTTGTTTAGTCCAGCACTGTGAAAAACTTGGGGGTTATTACTAAAAGCAAAAACAATTTTATTTTTAACACAAAATTTAACACTTTTTTCTAAACGTTAAAGTTTAACATTTCCCATTTTTTTCACCAAATTGCATTTTCTTCATTTAAATTAAGCAAAGTTTGGGCTCTGTTAGGGTTTTTTAAAAGGCTCGATTTTTTGATTAGGTTGGTTAGGTTGCTAGGTTAGATTCGATTAAGTTGATTAGGTTAGGTTCCATTAACCCCGAATAAGGGAAGAGAAAAACATACCCCTGAGTTGGCAACGAGGTTTCCCAGGGAAAAAAAAAAAAAAAACGCTCAGATTTGAGCATTTACTATCTCTTAGTGTGAGAATGAAATGGGGAAAGGGAGGAGGCTCGCTTCACCTTGAGTGAACAGCAGGGGTGAGTGAGGAGAGGACTCTGGCTTCACCTGTCGAGTGATCACAGGGTAATGAGTGTGGTGGGTAAATATAGAACATTCATCATTCTTTGGACAACCTTTTTGAAAAACCCCGGGGAAAAAATGCTCTGTTGTTGCGGGCGCTAGCCCAAATTGGTCGTGCGGCTTGTTGCTCTCCCCTCAGCCACACTCCTTGTTTATCATCACTCTCACCCTGGCCTGAGAGGGATGAAAGGAAGTTGTGTGTTGTGTGTGTGTGTGTATTCAATATATGAGGTTTTAAAAGGGTCGAGTCAATCTCCCGGCCCTGTGTGGGCTATAGTAGATTCCATTAACAATTAAGGAACATTTTACAGCCTTTTTGTTTCTTCGTAACAAAAATTTTTTTAGTTATTGCATGTATTTTGGTCAGGTTTTTATTTTTTTTTACTTAAATACACTTTTTGACGCGGACCCATAAAACTGGCGTCATTAAAAGTGTACATTTTCCCCGTATTTTAGTGCCGTCTGAGGAACTTGGGGGGTGAGTCAGTTACTGGGCGAGTTGTTAAATCCTCATTGTGATCTGATCACGTTCCCTTTTCCTTTTTAAAATTTACCATTTTTTGTCAGTTTTTTACTTTTTTCTTCCCTTCATGGAACTTATTTAGTGTAAAACCTATCCTTGTCTCCCTCTATTTAGGGGTTTTCAGTCCATTTTTTTTTATATTTTGCAAGAATATTTTTATCATCCCTAAACAGTCCTTGTGGACCCCGTTGTCATATTTCCCCATGAAAAATATTGCTTTTCTCCTTATCGTGTTTACATTTTCCCTTAAACAGTTTTATATTATATCCTGTGTTTTTTAGTTCAGAAAGGATCTCGTGCGAACTCTTTCGAAAATTTTTTTAAATTAAATAAATTAACACCTTAGCCCATTTCTTCCAAGAAAATTTATTTTTAAAGTGAATATCAGCTTAGCAAGATGCATTAACAGTTTTGATCAAAAACGAACTGTTAATGATTTATATTTTTTTAATATTCTAGTTTTATCCACTTCTCACTCACGGTTTTTTTTGCAGTTCTTACAGATTTTTCAGTGTTTTGGGATTTCCTATTCCAACGTCAGGTTTTAGATAAAATCTAATACTCGAAGTCATTTTACGCTTAATTCCCATGCCAGGATTTTTATCCTGTTAGTTTCCTTTTCTTAATACGTTTTTTTTCTTTCTAAGGTTCCCGTTCAATAGCTGTTTGGGTGTTCACTGCCACTTTAAAGTGTCTTCTGCTGAAATACCTTGAAAAAATTTGTTTAGTTTTCAATCAATTCCTCCTAAACCCCGATTTTGTCAGTTTTATTCTTCAATCTAGTTTTTCTTATTTTGAGTCTGCTTATCCCAAAAAATTAATGTGCGAAAATTGTTTCAGTTTGAACTTTCTTACATGTCCTTCCAAGTTTTTTTCTTCCCCTATTTTAATTCGTATATACCTTTCCAGTTTTTTGATTCTGGAAGTTTTTGGGTTGGCGTGTTTTTTTCCATTGTTTTAAGTTCTTTCTTTTCCTGTTTTCCTCATCTTCCCTTAAACCTTTTTTATATTATTTTGTTTGTTTTGTGGAGATGAGCTTCATCTCTTGGGGCCGGCCTCACAATCCCTTAGTGGCCCTTGATCATTATTCTTTGGGGTTTTAGTTGTATTAGTTTTTTAATCAAGCTTGAAGTCGAACTCCCCTCACTTCATACTCTTTCAGTGAAAAAGTTTCTTTAAAACAGGAACACAAAAAGTTCCATGTAGGGTCCCCCACTTTGGTTTTTCTTTCAAGTCTGCTTTCCCCTTTCACTTGCAGTAAAAAGCACCCGGTTTTACTCGACTGTTGGGGTCGCAGCCCTTGGGGAAAAATTTTCAAATGTACATGTATTAGAAAAATTTTTTTGAGAAAACCCCAATACTCCCTTTGTCAATATTTTCAATTTACCTCTCTATGTCGTGATCTTATCCCCCTGTTCTTCCCTCTGACAGTTTATGCCCGACTAGTCCTCTATGACCGTGTGTCGTGACTTTCAGCTATTACCCGTTTGGTGGAAAAAAACTCTGACATGGGATTTTTGGTTGCAATAACTTATAAATGGGAGAAACATTACAGGACATTAATTCACGGATTCAGGAACATATATGCACTTGGTACAAACACACACACACACACACACTCACACACCGCTAAATACACGTCCACATCATGACCTGGAACAACGACAAGTTAATAACTAAAGAGGAAGACATTAAAAGAAAATACTTAAAAGTTTGTGTAATGAAAATAATTGACATTATAAAAGAGTCATGGGGTATCTAGCATCACTTCTGTATCTCACAAAACTACCACTGGCTGGCATTAAGCTACTTAAGTCGACGCACCCAGGTGTAAATCTTTTTTCCTATATCATCCAGACCGGTCCTCCCTCACCTCACTATGCTACCTTACCTCATCATGAAGCCTGGTCCTCCCTCCCCCCCTACCAAATACATTCCCAGTCCTCCTCCCCTCCGAAGAGTTAAAACTCACTCAAAATGGTCAGGCGACTTAACTTTTTTTTTTCACCCCTCTCTTACCCCAGTTGTTCCCCTTCCAGTTCTAGCTAACCCACTTAAGGACCTGAAAAAAAGTTTGCTACTATCAATGCATATTTGCTACTATTATTTTACACATTTTATACTAATATTGTAACCAAAACTAATGTAATTCCATTAGACGCAGTCCAGACTATATCCATAATTCGTTCCGAGTCACAGGCTGTAGGTGGAAGAATGAAGGGGGCTGTAGGCCTGTTTGCTGGGCTTAAGGCCTATCGACTAAACGAGGGTCATTAGGGGAGCGGTATTCATCAACTGATCCTGATCTACCAAGTTGTGGTGCATACGATGGACTGCAGGTACTGAGCACTACCACCTTGATCGATCAGGCCAGCAACCAGGAGGCCTGGTCTGGGACTGAGCCGCAGGGGCGGTGACTTCCGGAAGCGACTCCAGGTACACACAGAAATTAGCTCTTAAGGTAGCTGAAAACTGAGAGCTCCATTGTTAGTACTAGTGAGGATAGGAATGAGACAGGTAAACATGCACCAACAGAGAATACAGTCACAGAAACCCAAGGCAAACGGAAACCAAGCCTGTGCACATACTATGCACATGGTATCTGCAGACATGGGAAATCTGGAAAAACAAATGGGACGTGCAACTATGACCACCCTAGAAAATGCCGTGCCCATATGACAACAGGAAAATGCAAACTCACTTCCTGTAAGCTTTTTCACCCTGAAATGTGTCCCTCTTCAGTACAGGAAAGACTGTGCTATAACTTGAATTGCCAGGCACACCATCTAAAGGGGACAAAAAGATACAAAACATCCAGGCCATGGGAAAACCTGGGTAGCCACAGCCACTCAAGAGGGAGAGGCTTTTTAGTGCCAGGAAGGAAAAAAAAAAAAAACTGGCAGGAAATGGCGGAAATCGTACCCCAAATCCAGTCATTTCTGGAGTGGAACCACAGTCGATGGCCTCCACTCCAAACCAACAGATACAGATACTAGTGCCGGAAAAAAAAGTCCCCCCCAGTACCACCAATACCACCAGGCAGATGACATTCTTCTTTGCAAATATACAGGGTCTAAAGCCAGCAACGAACAACAAAATACCTTTCATCCGTGGACTGCTTGCATAGGCAAATGCAATATTTGCGGCTTTTACAGAGACCCACATAAAGGATCACTTGGACAACGAAATATGGATCCCAGGTTACAACCTATACAGATGTGACAGAGTGAACAGGCAAAAGGAGGAGGGTTGGCCTGTATATCGCAGAGTCACTTGTTTGCACAGAACTACTTAATGCCTCAAATGATGTAGTGGAAGTTTTAGCAGTAAAGATCGAGAACCAAAACCTAGTCATTGTGGTAGTCTAAAAGCCTCCAGATGCAACGTCCCAGCAATTCCAGGAACAGCTGTCAAAAATTGACCACTGTCTGGAAAATCTGCCAGCTCCTGCCCCAAACATCTTGCTCCTGGGGGATTTCAACTTGAGACACCTAAAATGGAGGAATATAGCAAATAATGTTGTTGCAGTGATAACACCAGGAGGCAGCTCTGACGAGAACTCACATACAAACGAGCTTTTAAATCTCTGCACAAAATAGAGCCTACTAGACTGGAGAATACACTAGGCCTCATCTTCACTAACAATGATGATCTGATACGAAATGTCACCATATCAAAAACAATATACTCAGATCACAACATAATCGAGGTTCAGACATGTATGCGCGGAGCCCCAGACCGACAAAATGAGATTAGTCACGAGGGAGCCTTCACCAAATTCAACTTCAATAACAAGAACATAAAGTGGGACCAAGTAAATCAAGTCCTAAACGATATAAGCTAGGAAGATATACTAAGCAACACAGACCCCAACTTATGCCTAGAACAGATTAACTCGGTGGCACTCGATGTTTGCTCAAGGCTTATTCCTTTAAGAAAACGGAGTAGATGTAAAATAGAAAGAGACAGGCGCTCCCTTTACAGGCGACGGAAAAGAATAACAGAGCGGCTAAAAGATACCAATATATCTGAAATGCGTGGGGAGTCACTGGTCAGAGAAACAGCAAACATCGAACTTAGGCTAAAGGAATCTTATAGGAGTCAGGAATCGTAAGAAGAACTAAAAGCCATAAATGAAATCGAAAGAAACCCAAAGTATTTCTTTTCTTATGCCAAATCGAAGTCGAGAACAACATCCAGTATTGGGCCCCTACTTAAACAAGATGGGTCCTATACAGATGACAGCAAGGAAATGAGTGAGCTACTCAAGTCCCAATATGACTTAGTTTTTAGCAAGCCGCTAACCAGACTGAGAGTCGAAGATCAAAATGATTTTTTTATGAGAGAGCCACAGAATTTGGTTAACACAAGCCTATCTGATATTATCCTGACACCAAATGACTTCGAACAGGCGATAAATGACATGCCCAAGCACTCTGCCCCAGGGCCAGACTCATGGAACTCCGTGATCAAGAACTCCAAGAAGCCCCTATCACGAGCTTTTACCATCCTATGGAGAGGGAGCATGGACACGGGGGTCGTCCCACAGTTACTAAAAACAACAGACATAGCCCCACTCCACAAAGGGGGCAGTAAAGCAATAGCAAAGAACTACAGACCGATAGCACTAACATCCTATATCATAAAAATCTTTGAAAGGGTTCTAAGAAGCAGGATCACCACCCATCTAGATACCCATCAATTACACAACCCAGGGCAACATGGGTTTAGAGCAGGTCGCTCCTGTCTGTCCCAGCTACTGGATCACTACAACAAGGTCCTAGATGCACTAGAAGACAAAAAGAATGCAGATGTAATATATACAGACTTTGCAAAAGCCTTCGACAAGTGTGACCATGGCGTAATAGCGCACAAAATGCGTGCTAAAGGAATAACAGGAAAAGTCGGTCGATGGATCTATAATTTCCTCACTAACAGAACACAGAGAGTAGTCGTCAACAGAGTAAAGTCCGAGGCAGCTACGGTGAAAAGCTCTGTTCCACAAGGCACAGTACTCGCTCCCATCTTGTTCCTCATCCTTATATCCGACATAGACAAGGATGTCAGCCACAGCACCGTGTCTTCCTTTGCAGATGACACCCGAATCTGCATGACAGTGTCTTCCATTGCAGACACTGCAAAGCTCCAGGCAGACATCAACCAAATCTTTCAGTGGGCTGCAGAAAACAATATGAAGTTCAACGATGAGAAATTTCAATTACTCAGATATGGTAAACATGAGGAAATTAAATCTTCATCAGAGTACAAAACAAATTCTGGCCACAAAATAGAGCGAAACACCAACGTCAAAGACCTGGGAGTGATCATGTCGGAGGATCTCACCTTCAAGGACCATAACATTGTATCAATCGCATCTGCTAGAAAAATGACAGGATGGATAATGAGAACCTTCAAAACTAGGGAGGCCAAGCCCATGATGACACTCTTCAGGTCACTTGTTCTATCTAGGCTGGAATATTGCTGCACACTAACAGCACCTTTCAAGGCAGGTGAAATTGCCGACCTAGTAAATGTACAGAGAACTTTCACGGCGCGCATAACGGAGATAAAACACCTCAATTATTGGGAGCGCTTGAGGTTCCTAAACCTGTATTCCCTGGAACGCAGGAGGGAGAGATACATGATTATATACACCTGGAAAATCCTAGAGGGACTAGTACCGAACTTGCACACGAAAATCACCCACTACGAAAGCAAAAGACTTGGCAGACGATGCACCATCCCCCCAATGAAAAGCAGGGGTGTCACTAGCACGTTAAGAGACCATACAATAAGTGTCAGGGGCCCGAGACTGTTCAACTGCCTCCCAGCACACATAAGGGGGATTACCAACAGACCCCTGGCAGTCTTCAAGCTGGCACTGGACAAGCACCTAAAGTCAGTTCCGGATCAGCCGGGCTGTGGCTCGTATGTTGGTTTGCGTGCAGCCAGCAGCAACAGCCTGGTTGATCAGGCTCTGATCCACCAGGAGGCCTGGTCTCAGACCGGGCCGCGGGGCCGTTGACCCCCGGAACTCTCTCCAGGTAAACTCCAGGTAAACAGTGAAGTACAAAGGAATACAGTTATTACAGTGCAACATGCCAAAGCTCCTTGTATGCAGAGCATTATGGGCAGGCTTAAAATTAACTTAAGATTAACTAAGCAATAATATATTCAGTGGTAAAAACATTATTGTAAACAGATAACAATTTAGCACAAATGAGTATTACAAAGACAGGTCATATGGTCATTTACTGTGTTGCTGAGCATTCAGTAAAATGGAGTATTCTGTTAGGTAATGTAATTAAAAAATAAAGTTTGATTGGGTCACAGGTTAGACATGAGATACAATAATGAGAAACATTTACGAGATACAATTTATGAGATACGATTATTCAGTATTTATTTAGTTGTGGGTGAGTAAGTGATTTTTGAGAAGAGACTTGAATTTATAAACAGACAGTGTTTCTTTTATATTCACAGGTAATGAATTCCAGATTTTAGGGCCTTTTATGTGCATTGAGTTTTTGCATAGTGTGAGATGGACACGAGGAACATCAAAGAGTGATCTGTGCCTTGTGTTATGGTCATGTGTTCTGTTGAGGTTGGTAAGGAGACGTTTTAGGGAAGGGTTTATATCAGAATTAAGTGTTCTATGAATGTAGTAGGTGCAGTAAGAAGTATGGATGTTTCGTATGGTGAGTAGGTTTAGAGTTTTGAATATTGGTGGAGTGTGCTGCCTGTAGTGGGAATTTGCTATCATTCTGACTGCAGCCTTTTGTTGGGTAATTAATGGTCTGAGATGGTTTATTGTTGTTGAGCCCCATGCACAAATTCCATAGGTGAGATAGGGGTAAATAAGTGAGTGATATAGGGCCAGGAGGGCTGACTGTGGAACATAGCACCGTATCTTCGATAGTATGCCTCCAGTCTTGGAAATTTTTTGGGAAATTTGTTGTATATGTGTTTGAAATTTGAGTCTATTATCAAGGTGGATTCCTAAGAATTTTCCCTCTGTGAGTTTTGTGATAGGTGATCCGTTTACCATTATGTTAAGAGGGACGTCTGTAGCTCTGTTACCAAACTGAATGAAGTAGGTTTTGTCAATGTTTGGAGTAAGTTTGTTAGTACTCATCCAGGTAGATATTTTCTGTAATTCGGTATTTACAGTATTGGCTAGCGTGACTGGGCTCGGGTGAGAGAAGACGTATGTATTGTCATCTGCAAATAGTGTGGGTTTGAGTAGTTGCGATGCATTTGGTAGGTCATTTATGTGTATGAGAAAGAGAAGAGGGCCAAGGACACTTCCCTGTGGGACACCAACTGTAATTGGCTGTGCTGAAGAGTTTGCCCCGTTTGTGTACACATATTGGCTTCTGTTGCTGAGGTAAGACTTTAGGTAGTTGAGGGAGTGCCCTCTTATACCATAGTGCGACAATTTTACGTGGAGCAAGTCATGGTCAACTGTATCAAAAGCTTTACGTAAGTCAATGAAGATCCCCAGTGGGACTTCTTTTTTCTCTATTGCAGTGTATATGTGTTCTAGCATGTGTATAATAGCATCATTAGTATTTTTATTAGGCCTGAACCCAAACTGACAGGGGTTGAGTATGTTGTGGGAGATGAGGTAGGAATAGATTCGCTTATGAATTAATTTTTCGAAGATTTTAGAGAGAGGGTGTAAGTTGGATATTGGCCTATAGTTATTCAAGTCTGTTTGGTCTCCTCCTTTATGGATCGGGTGACCCTTGCTATTTTGAGAACTGTAGGGAAGGTAGAGGATTCTATGGATTTGTTAAAGAGTGTTGCAATGATTGGTGATAGTACTTGTGACGCTTTTTTTGTATATAAAGGGTGGTAAGGTATTTAAATCTCCTGTCTTGTTTTTTAGTGTGTTGATAATAAGGGAGACTTCAGCAGGGTTAGTCGGAGCTAGGAACAGTGTGTTCGGGTATTTTGCCAGTGAGGGAGCTTTGGGGTGGGGTATCTGACTTGGTTTTTATTGGCAAGGATTTTTCCTATAGTGAAGAAGAAATTATTGACCTGTTTGCTGTTCAGTAGGTGGGGTTGGGTTCCTCTGGTTAGGGTTAATTCAATTTTTGCTATTTCGTGATATTTTTTTGTTCATAAATTTCTGATAGGGTTTTCCAGGTTTTTTTTATATCACCTCGTAAGTTGGATAATCTGTTCTCATAATACAATTTTTTAGCCCTTCTTATCAGGCTGGTTAGGATTGACGAGTAACGTTTTGTTTGGTCCCTGGTTATGTGACCCATTCTGTACTGTTTTTCGTACAGCTGCTTTGTATTTATGGATCTGAGGATGCTGAGTGTTAGCCAGGGACTGTTCAGTCTCTTAGCTGTCATCTGTTTAGTTTTTGGGGGGCAGTGCTTGTTGTAAAGGTATTGGGTCTTTTTTAAAAAATTATTAATACATTCGTCAATATCTCTATAGATTTCTAGTTCAGTGTGCCAGTCAATGTTTGTCACTGCTGCTGTGAAGTTATTAATGGCTGACTCATTGTGAAGTCTGAAAGTGACTTTAGTAGTGTCTTGGGGTAATTTGCCAAGGTTTGTGATGAGGAAGGTAGGGTAGTGATCTGTGGTATTATCTGTGATTATGCCTGATTTTAAAGGGGATATGGTGTTGGTCCAGATGTGGTCTAGTAGGGAAACACTAGTCTCTGTCTCTGCCTTTTATTATTAATTTTGGCATCTTTATTGTACTTCTAGGTTATCTATCGTGTTTATGATATCAAGTTGAAATATATGTGATAGATAGATAACTTTTATTACTAATATTAGTATAATTACACAACACTAGTATCCAACTATAAGATGATTTATCAGATACTGAATGCTCCTTCTGTTGGCCCCTCCCTCTCTCTCCTATAGCTCCTCCCACTTCAGGCCCCTCTTATAATACGCTTGATTTCTGTTTTGAATTTTTATTCACACAAGAAATAGAAGATTTACTGTTATGCAGACTACTGCATTATTGTAAAAATGTATAAATAATATCAGCGCATTTGTGAAAGCACATTAGACCCACCAGTTGGCTTGTATTGGACACGTGACGTGATGTGTTTACTCGTGAACATCAGCAAAAGTCGAACATTTACACTGCTTTGAGCTCAATTTCAAAGTACTTTTAGTCTGTAAACAATTCCAGATCATCTCTATTTCTGACCAAGAAAACGAAAATACAACTATAAAACCATACGAAAATATACCACAAAGTTGCTGTAAGTGTATTTTTTGTGGGTCTCAAAAGGATTCATCTAATTTACATTATTCTTTATGGGAAAAATTTGTTCAGTACTCGAACAGATCGGCACTCGAGTAGCCTTCTGGAACGAATTAAGTTCGAGTACCGAGGTTCCACTGTGTTGGAATACTTGAGCCAAAGGAGGCTTTTCTTTAAATCCTCAATTCAATTAGTTGTATTTCAATAAGAGTAAAAAAAAGGGCTTTTTTATTTAACACGATCCTTTTAGTGGTAGGATAGCAGCCCTTAACCTGTAAATTCACATAAAAAAATGCTTAAAAGTGCATGCTACCTATTCACACGTCAAAAATACTTTAAGCCCAACAACAGGGACTAAAGTAAAATCCGAGCCTATATAACTAGACATACACCTCACAGCGTATATGTTCTGCGGGCGATGTAGGGATCATAACCCACCTGTAGTGGTGGAGGACGAGCTTTGGGGCGTGTTGGTTGTAGTGTGTCACTTCCACCGTCATCTCCTGCTTGATGACTTTACCGGACATGAGTGCTACAACGATGACACGGTACTCCTGGCCTGCTCCGAGCTCCAGGTACCTGCAGGGCGAGAAGACATCCAAGCCTCATCAGTACACTGTTTACCAAGACTTTGAACACCTTACTAAAATTAAATTGTTCATAATGTAGAAACACTTCAATTATCAAACTCTCATTTACATGGTGTACAACAATTCATTCGACTTATAAAGAGATAAAAAATATGTTATGTGGAAAAAATTTTGGATTTTCCTAAATTCAGCATGTGTAAATTTGAATAATACAATACTTGTGTAATAAAATATGATGCTGATTTGACCCTTTCAAGAAATTTTAATTAAAGGGGAGTGTGGAAGAGCCAGTAGGGACACTGGGGAGGGAGACGCCATATTGAATTTAGTGCTGCTGTATAGCCCTTGTGGCTTAGCGCTTCTTTTTTATTATAATAATAATGAATTTAGTGTGTGTGCACTGGTTGTTACAATCGTCTAATAATCCGGCATCATCGAGGCCATAATGGGTTTGTAATAGGAACCCACATTAATGTCCCCTCCTGAAGAACTGGGACAGGAAATTTACGGGACCTCAAGAATTGTGTTACCTGGAGTTTACCTGGAGAGAGTTCCGGGGGTCAACGCCCCCGCGGCCCGGTCTGTGACCAGGCTTCCTGGTGGATCAGAGCCTGATCAACCAGGCTGTTGCTGCTGGCTGCACGCAAACCAACGTACGAGCCACAGCCCGGCTGGTCAGGAACCGACTTTAGGTGCTTGTCCAGTGCCAGCTTGAAGACTGCCAGGGGTCTGTTGGTAATCCCCCTTATGTATGCTGGGAGACAGTTGAACAGTCTCGGGCCCCTGACACTTTTTGTATGGTCTCTTAACGTGCTAGTGACACCCCTGCTTTTCATTGGGGGGATGTTGCATCGCCTGCCAAGTCTTTTGCTTTCGTAGTGAGTGATTTTCGTGTGCAAGTTCGGTACTAGTCCCTCTAGGATTTTCCAGGTGTATATAATCATGTATCTCTCCCGCCTGCGTTCCAGGGAATACAGGTTCAGGAACCTCAAGCGCTCCCAGTAATTGAGGTGTTTTATCTCCGTTATGCGCGCCGTGAAGGTTCTCTGTACATTTTCTAGGTCAGCAATTTCACCTGCCTTGAAAGGTGCTGTTAGTGTGCAGCAATATTCCAGCCTAGATAGAACAAGTGACCTGAAGAGTGTCATCATGGGCTTGGCCTCCCTAGTTTTGAAGGTTCTCATTATCCATCCTGTCATTTTTCTAGCAGATGCGATTGATACAATGTTATGGTCCTTGAAGGTGAGATCCTCCGACATGATCACTCCCAGGTCTTTGACGTTGGTGTTTCGCTCTATTTTGTGGCCAGAATTTGTTTTGTACTCTGATGAAGATTTAATTTCCTCGTATTTACCATATCTTAGTAATTGAAATTTCTCATCGTTGAACTTCATATTGTTTTCTGCAGCCCACTGAGAGATTCGGTTGATGTCCGCCTGGAGCCTTGCAGTGTGTGTGGATGGTGGAAAATAAATGCGGACATCACTCATCACTAGCTGCCAGTGTAGGGTCTAGGTGTTAGGCATCGTGGTGTGATCCATCTACAGTAATTAAATGGTAAGTGTTAATACCAGTTATATTTGTTGTGCCCAGCATGCTTAATCCTATACAGTCCACACAAATTTAATTACCAGAGTAGCTGGTTTTAATATAATTATTAATTTAATGTCAGGTCTAGCTTTTTGTAAGAGTGGTGAAAAAGTGTGCACTCGAAGGAGTCACAGTTCAGCGACCCACTGTGACTAAGTCCCACTTATACCTCACTTAAATTACTTGTAGGTAATAATTCAGGTAATGTCCTGTAAACCTCCTGCAGGTGATTTGCTCATAATAATAATAATTTTCACGTTATATGACAAGGAATGACTGTAAAACGCTAACTGACATTGTGCAAAATTACCACAGTAAAAAAACACAAGAACATGAAAGCCTGAGCGCCTTCATATGTTCACACACTTCAGATGGACTAGAAAGAAAAAACAGCAACACACATATGGGTCAAGATGAGGTGCTTGAATATCGTGCTAAGGATTAGTTTATCATGTTAACTTATCCTTAAGCACCTCATTCTTAACCTATATATGTGCTCTTTGTTTTTATTTTAGTCTATCTGAACAAGTGTTAACACAAAACCACCCAGTTTCTTCTTTTTCATATAAGTGGTAGTTTTCTAAATATGTTATTTAAGTGGCAGCAGTACTGACTTTTATACGTAATAAAGTGTTTGAGAGAGCTGTGCTAATTAAGCCGTACATTGAATGCTTCCTTAACTGGTAGATATGTTCTATATTTTGTGAATTAACAGTAAGAAAATATTTAATTTGTAACTCAAACTAATTTAGAAAATTCAACAAACTATGCTGAAGTTAAAGTAATTTAACCTGAATTCAGTGTTATTTTTACATCAACGAAACCATTTTCGTGATAATGCGAATGATTTCAGATATATTATTACAAAAATGAATTTACACTCTGGCAAAATTATCATTATTTTCATAATTATTAGTAGTACATATATGTGGAGCGCTACACCCTTAGGGAGGGCCACATCGGGGGAGGTAACGTTTAAGCTCGATCTAGGGAAGGGAAGGTCTAATTCCTTGGATCAAGAGCAGCGTCAAGGAACCCTCCACTGAGGGGCAGGATATGTTTCATGAGCTAAACTGGCAAGCTATGTTTACAAACACCACATAAACACTTACATGTTGACACCTTCAAGAATAACAGTTGAAGACCTGACCATCATCCTTTACTACTACATATTCCTAAAGCATAAAAAAAAAATACTCTGAATCTTAACCCAGTGATTTATTCAATAATCTATGAAAGGTCTTCATCGAAAGATAGTTAGATGGGACAAAGTAATAAAATGAATCTACCGTCCAATAACTGTTTTGAGGTGGGTGCTACTTCAGGACTAAAATTCTACGACGCTTGAAATGTGAAGTGGTACAATTACTATCGGGGAGAAAGACACTGATAGAAGAGGATCCTTTTATTACAACGTTAATCCCCACTTGTCGTCTTTGGCCATTGTCTACCTACCATTACTATCATTAGCTTGGCGAAGAGTTTCTAGCAGTCTAACCTAAAATATGCCTTCTTAGCTTCTAAGAAACTCAGATGCACTGGAAACGCCTCTTCTTGTGTAAATCAATGACTTTTCATAGAGCCAGGATAAACATCTCACCAAGACACTTTTTGAAATAAAACTGATAATATACAAGCTGTAAGCAGGGCCGGATTAAGAAGTCTCCGGGCCCTAGGCTATTCAGATTGGCGGGGCCCCTTTGAGTTACGGGTAAGCGAAGCGACCCCTTCCAGCTTGGGGGTGGGGGGGGGGGGGGTTCGGTGTGAGCCTGTTTAAGGTCTAATTAAATACATTCTGGCTATTTAGATTAAATTTAATAGGGAAAGTACATCAAGACAACCAAAACCATTTACCAACAGCCATTATAACTATCTTGTTAAATCATGCATTTTAAAGAGAATAAACTCAAGACAGCATAGTATTACTAGATTAGGCTATTAAAGTAGTGACATCATGTACCTATTATATTCAGCATAACCACTACAGCACAATTATTCCCTTTATAAATCACTGACCATTATTGTTATCATTGCATCATGCATAAGACTATCAAATCATATAAACTACAGAAAATTGGAGAGGAATCTCCCATACTCACCCATTAGCGGGAAAACACAGCTGTTCTGATGTAAACAAAGGCGTGTTGAGTGTTGCCATCTATGGTTAGGTTTATTTATTTTTATTTTATTTTATTTCATTATTTATTTTTGTTTTGATTAATTTTTAAAAATCAATTTTACTCTCCAAACACTTGAACTTTTTAGGTAGGGACCCCTTTGCACTTGCACCATGTGCACAGTCTTGGATGAGCCCCTGAACCCCTTGGACCACGGGGCCCCCAAATGCGCGGGGCCCTAGGCAAATGCCTAGTTTGCCTATGCGGTAATCCGGCCCTGGCTGTAAGAACTCTTAGTTTATCTAATATTACGGTTTCAAAGACTTTTGACTAATGAAAGTCTCGAGTTTTCACATTTTAAAGTGTCCTTTATCTTACTGTTTAAAAAACAGTGCTGTATAGTCCTTGTGGCTTAGCGCTTCTTTTTGATTATAATAATAATATTGTTTAAAAAACAAAGCAAAGTATACATTTAAAAAAAATGAAAATTCGTGTTTTTATAGCATTTTTTTATTTCTGAGTTAGGTGAACACCCTCTAGAAAGGCGTAGAATTAGGGTGGATATGATTGAGGTGTATAAATGGAAAACAGGAATGAATAAAGGGGATGTAAACAGCGTGGTAAAAATATCCAACCTAGACAGGACTCGCAGCAATGGCTTTAAGTTGGAAAAATTTAGATTCAAGAAGGATATAGGAAAACACTGGTTTGGTAATAGAGTTGTGGATGAGTGGAACAAACTCCTGAGTACCGTCATAGAAGTTAAGACGTTGTGTAGTTTTAAAAATAGGTTAGATAAGTAGATGAGTGGGTGTGGGTGGGTGAGTTAGACCTGACTAGCTTGTGCTAGTAGGTCAGATGCCTTGCTCCTTCCTTAAGTGAACGTGACCTGACCTGACTAGGTTAAGGCATTGGCTTAAGCCGGAAGAAGAATTGGACCTGCCTCACATGGGACGGTAGGCCTGCTGCAATGTTCTTATGTTCTTATGGTCTTAAACACTGTCAGCTACAAGTTGCTTATACCATTTAAGGTTTTTATTTATAACTTCCGAACACATTATTCAATTTTCTTCACATTTCAAACCCTGGTTAACTACATAATACACGCCCTTAATAACATTACTAGGAAAACAGGGCATGAGGACCATCTTGAGAATTCGTTCTTATATATATAGTTTTAGGTATCAAATACTGTTGACCCACATAACAATTATTGCAGCATCCTTTAATAATAATGCAACGATCAGCTCTTAAGGGCAGAGAAACTTAACCTGGTTTTAGA